GCTTCTTTTTGGGGTCGCCAATTCGAACGCTGGCTGCAACTTTGGACTTTGGCCAGCCACGGGCTGAGTTGAGAGTGAGAACTGCTTTTCCGGTGATGTGAAGCCCAGTGTGGGGATTGAATTGTTTTTGGTGGCCAAACATGTTTGAAATCGGCACCACCTGTCTCCAAAGGTCCGCCCACCAAGCACGTGATGAAACGACGGGCGAGGCAGGGCACTGCAAAGTGACTTAAGCGTGACACATGACATGAACCTGGCTAAACACCTCCCGGCCCGATCTCACTGCGTCAGGTGAGGTTGCTCTGGGCCTGCCGCGTTCGGCTGGCTGAGCTGCTGGGGTGAGGGCGAGGGGTCCGGATTTTTCTAGTATCACTAGCATCTAAAACCGGAGGAAGGTCCAAAGCCTCTTATCGTCTAATGGATCCGGCTCTCTTGCCCCTTTGTGACTCGCGGGGTTCAGCGTCACACTACACGCAAGAACTTAACAAGAACTTTCTCTTCGAAAGTTTGATGCAGGATTCTTTACACCGACATGAGTGAACATGTTTGAGCCAATGTTTTTCTGAATGTTTTGTGTATTCTCGAATGTTTGAACTTCTTTGTTTCTCGATCGTTTGGATTTGATGCAGGCTTTATCAGTAGGCTGGCTCAGATTCTTTAGAAGGATTAACGATGATTTTGCCGTGGTTCCAAACGTGTGCCACAGGGTTCAATCGCGGCATAGCACTTGGGAAAACTTGGGAGAAAACAAATGTTTTGTCGCCGATGGCGGCCTCAAGTTGACCTGCACGTACTTGCGTGCACTTCACACATGAACTCGCGTGGCTTCCAGGAGAACTTTAGGGGTTTGGTGGTTCGTAGCTGGTTCCGCTATGCCGCTCATGAGCCCTGTGGATGAGTTGTCCGAGTCAGGGTCCCTGTGATGTCAGAGAGAGCAGGGTTCTGTTGGTTTGGATTGAACCCGCACCGCTTGCTCCCATATACTGAGTTATGAGATGGCTGAGCAGGAGCAGGAGCTTGTGCTCGGGCCCCAAGTGTCAGTGGCGCAACTTCAACGCTTCACACTGTAAGTGGAATGAACTTAGGCAACGGCATGAGAGTGGGGGCAAAAAGGCACTATGTTTTGGCTGAATGAGTTCTAAAAAACTACATCTTCATGCGCAATGTTACAGTATATTCCCAAATGCTTTTTTGTGGATGGCAGGTTCCCAAATGGGGCATTTGGAAGGAAGGACAGCTCAACTCCCACAGCCCGTCTTTCATGCCACAGCTCCCACGCACACCATTGGGCATAGTGTTGGCTCTTTGATTGCATCACTATTCTATCGTTCATCCACTCTGATTTGCTAGGATGCCAAGTTTTATTCCTACTGGTGAAATTGTTTGAGGTGCCTGAGAGGCCCAAGAAGGATACCATTTTGCCAAAAAAGGGTGAAATCTTGAAGAAGAAGTTCACAGTGAACACATGGGGCACCATCCGCCCCGACCTCAAGCATCGCTCCAGCCTCTGTCATTGCAACCACAGAGCTTTCCAGAATCAGGCCTCTTTGGGGCAACGCAGCGAGCAAACCCAAAATACTTATCGAAGCGTGGCGCACAAGACCGGACTTATACTGAATCTGTCGTTCAAACCTTTTTCATGCCTAGAGTCATCAGAGATGTTCTTGCTGCAGGACTTTGCAAATCAAGTTTACCATTGGGAATCCTACATCCTGGCATGCCGCCAAGCGGGCAAGCCACGTGGCTTGTTTGCCACCCCGGACATAGGTGAATCTATGGCAGGCCAGGTGTGAACACATAATTTTGAAACGTCAAGACTTGGACCATCTTGGACCAATGCATTTGGAGGGCTTCCTCGTGGCTGGACGGACCCAGCCCCGGGTTCAGTGGTGGACGACCTCTGCTCTATTTACCCTTGGATGCACAAGGACCCTTGAAACCTTCTGTTCACATTTGGACTATTTTGGACTTTCTTGCACCTTTACAGGAGACTGGCCCCAAGTTCCGGGTTGCCTCATTGTTTTCGGGTGTGCTTGGACTCGAGTTGGGTGTGCGAAAGCTCGACCCTAAGTTCTGTATATTGCATGTCCAATTAGAATTCACCAGCAATCTTTCACAACGCTGTCGCTGAGTCTTTGCACCAGTGTTTGCTATGCCAGGGCCCAAAAACTTGTACAACTGATGTCAACCTCGAAGGACAAGTTGAACCCCTTCACTTCCAACCCGCCCAGGTAGAGAGCAATCCTTGGTGCCGGGACCTGATCGCGCAACGTCAGCATGATGGCCTGGCGGACAGAGGGCCAATCTACAGTGATGTTACCACATGCAAGTTGGAGCAGGATGTGGACGGTTTTCTCGCAGGATTTCCGTGCCAGGGGATCTGTAAGGCTGGGCATGGCTTGGGGTTGAAGGACGCCAGGACTTCGCTGGTGAAGCATGTTTTTCGCCTATATAATGAGCAGCCTGTTCCACCGAACCTTTACTAAAAGTTATGCCCAATCCTTGGTGTTGGATTATGTTAAATCAAAGATAATCAAAGAATTTGGAGCTCCGCCGTTTCAAAGCAAGTCAGGAGATTTATGTTGTTGGAGAACGTGGGTGCCATCCTCCAACCAAACCATCGCCAAGTGCTTGACTACATTTTTGAGGTGCAGTTGATATTATATACAATATATAAGTTTAACTTTGCATGCGAGCATGGATAGGAATCGGAGAAGCGTGGATTGGTGTGCGTCTACGCGACTGTGAATGGTCACATGGTTGGCGCGCAGGTTCAACCCTCAGTTGAAATGTGCTGCATGTGGGCCTCACATATCCAGCGTTTGTGTGTTGTTGTTGCATCATAGTACCACCCAGATCTGGCGCGAGCGGGTGTTCTTCCTCATCGCGCATCCAACCTTCAACCTGTTCCAGGCATGAACACGCAACATATGGGATCAGAAACAAACATGTGACCTTTCATACCTTTTCCACATCACCATCTACTACTTGTCTTGCCCTTGACAAGGACCACACTATGCTCAGCGAAGCGCAAATGAGGGAACAGTCTGTGAGCCCTTGGATGCTGACCTCGCACAAGCCTGAGCTGTGTGATTGGCTTGCCCCGGAGCCAAGCCCGGGTTGGAAGGAACGGCTGTCAGCCGTAGGTAACATCGTAGTACCTCACATGGCCAACTTTGCAGCCAACCTCCTAAAGGAGATTTGGATCTCTCAGCCGAGTCAGCCGAACCGGAGCTGAGCTGTTGGTTTTCCTGTGCAGCTTGGAAATGTCAATTCACCTTTGGACTCAGCCAGGCTGCGTCTAATTCGCATACCTCCGCAAGGGGTTCGGGTTGTTCGACGCACAAAGAAAGGGATAAGAAATGCAATGTGAATGCACATCTTGGTGCATTTGTAGATCGATCATGTTACCACCTGCAAGTTGTATGAAGATGTGGACGGTTTTCTCGCTACTTCTTGTTGGTTTACTTGTTGGTTTACTCGCTACTTGCAGCTCTGTTTTTGAGCCGGGAGCGTTGACCGGGAGCTTTGACCGGAAGAGCTTCCACAGGTGCGCCAGTGGCATGTTTGAAATCTCAGCTGCTTGCAATCAATCTTTCTCCTATGAGCGGCCGTCAGAACGCTTGGCTCAATGTCGTTCAAATCAATTGTTCAACCTATGGAAGTTCTGCAAGTGGGCGCCAACATGCAAGTGGGTCCAACAAGTGGGTCCATCATCTCAAGAGTTTCTCAGAGCCCCATTCCTATCTATTGTTTGTTCGGTGCCAGCGAGGGTACCTGCAGTGTGGTGCTTCCAGCCATGGAGTGCAGTTGACAAAAGTTCAGGACATGTGATTTCATACGTTTCATAGTCGCTCACCCCGAGCGTCTCTGCTGACAGAACCACGCCCGCAGGACCGGCCTGCTGGAGGAAAAGATCGAGCTCCATTGGCCTTGGATCAGGTATCAGGAGCGTGTAGAGATGAATCAACCATAGAAAGTCGACTACAAAGCGTGGCAAAGTGGATGCGTCTAGAGCCTTTGCACCACATTTTATGGTTTCCAAGTTGATATTGCGTGATGATTACCATCATGATATGTCCATTTGCCCCGCTTCAACTCCAGGACGCCTGTTCTCAACACTGATTAGTTGCAATCTCAGCGTGCCATCCACTTCTGTCCACTTCTGTTCTCAACATATCTCAACATTAGAATATATTAGAATATATTAGAATCATTAGTTGCAAACAATTTCAACTATCGCCATGTCCTTCGTTCACAAACCTCAGATGTCTATTGAGGCAGCCCCATAAATACCTAACCACCATAAAAATTAATTCAGGGTCTGAGATTTGTCACTACCTTCACCATCTTTGCGCCCTGCGCATTGTCCTGAGGCCCCGCAAACATGCTGGAAGCTGTGACCAGCCTCAGCGATGAGGAGAGGTGCAACGACCGACCACCACCAAAGGCGGTGCTCGGCGACGTTCGCCGCAAGCGACCTCCCCGCTACAAGAAGAAGTTTCTTGGTACTTCGTATGCCTATGGAAGCACAGTGGACCCTACTAAGATGCGGCATTTGATTTCCTCTCGCTGTGGGTGTAGCTGCAAATGCTTTCAACCTTTCCATGGTTCCATCCACATGTTCGAAGAGTGGTTGAAGCAGCGGCGATTGATGGCAAGCATGACCAAACTTGAGAAGGACGAATATGTTTCTTGCCCAGCGGTTCAGCACATGTTGAAAAGTCTATCGGGTCTATTTACCTTGTTTCCTTTTGTTCCGTTTTACATCCGTGTCTATCCAGTGAGTCTCCCCACCGTTAGGTCTTCAGCTGGTTGAACTCGTCTGCCATGGAGGACGCCTGCCGAGGCTCGAGGTACTTGAGAATCTGTGGGCAGCTGGTGTGCGGCCGCGGGTTCATGCGGATGATGGGAATAGGGAAGAAAAGGTTTGGAGTTCTTGGGAGAGCGGCGCGAAAAGGTGAACAACATTGCCCTTACGATTGTAGATATGTGCCTAGGGGGCCCAAGGCACCCTCAGAGAAGTACAAGAAGGTGTACGACTTTCTGATGGAACAGTGGACCAATGTGGCCGAGTTTATTCCTGATGGCCTGAATTCAAACAAACGGCCCAGGTTTGGCACTGAAAAGCTTGATTCTCCCAGCATGAACAGAAGCTCCATCAAACATTTACCACCGGGATCACTTTCCGAATACCACGAGCAATGCCAAGCGGCAACGAGAGATCCTTCGATCAGTCGGAAACTTTTCTCGACTGCCCCATGTCTCAGCATAATGAGCTCTGAATACTTTGCAGTTGTTTTTACTGTGTTCCTTTCCACCTGGAAGTTTGGATTCGATGAAGTTGGCACCCCAGGTATGGCAACGAGAGTTCAAAGAGCGACTGCGGGTGCGCTTCCACTCGCACCACGCCAAATGCTCTATCTGCATCAGGCATCGGCTCATTATCAAGAAGCTAGGCCATTGCGCTGCTGCTCGCAGGGCGCAGTTTGCTGAGTTGCAGCGACATTTGTCTCGCCAGCTGGCAGACCGTCGCATTTATTGGTTCAATCGCTCGCAGAGCCGCTTGAGCGCGATCAGTCCATGCTGCCAAGAGATGACCTTCATTTTGGACAGTATGGACATGCAGAAATACTCCTGGCCAAAGAGCCCAACTATGAACGCCAAGGACTTCTGCTCATGGGCTAGGCCCCGCATGGCTTGCACCAGTTTGTTGGCCCACGGCCATCTAGTTCTGAACGTCCTCACGCATCATTGCATTTCAACAACCAGCTCAAGGACGGCTGAAATCGTGAGCTACGCAATGTCAAAGCTTGCGCTTGAGCGGCGGATCGACTTTCGTCGAATCATGCTATGCATTCAGGCCGACAACGCCTCTAAGGAGGCTAAGAACAACACCCTGTTGCGCCACTTTGCGTGGCAGGTGGCACTGAGAAAACTCAAAGGATGTCAACTTACTTTTCTCAGCAGCGGCCACTCTCATGAGGACATCGACAGTCTATTCAGCAATTTGAGGGCATGGCTTTCACGACGCAGTGACCTTTGGACACCAGAAGCCTTTCGTCAATGCTTGGATGAGTATTTTCAGGATCCGTCGCATCGGCCCTATGAGAAGATCCGGGAAACCATTCGGATGGACCGCTATCGAGATTGGTGCCCCATATGACTTAACAATATTTCTGTTGACTTTGAGGTAGTTCAACTTTTAGGCTGCAATAGTCTATTTGAAACCTCTCTGCACCTCTTCAACACCACAAGGAAAAACTTCTGGGGGTACTTCATGCATTTTGGACACCTGAAGGGTATAGGTGGCCCTGGTGCGCCACATGTGTTCTGTTTGCAGCGGCTGGAGGACGCAGGCCATGTATTTCAAGGGGGTTTGAGAGCGCTTAGGAAATCCCCAAGTTAGTGAAATAGGAGCTTTGCTGTACATCACCCTGTTTTAAGCCTTAATATGATATGCTTGATATGCTTCTTGGATGGACCAGTTCTTGTAAACCCCCACCGTCAGGCGTTGACCCTACAACTGTCGATCAGAGCTTTTGGCAAAGGCGCCGCCATGTTCTCACCGGTGGAGATGTTATCGTCAGGAGACAATGGATAGCACAATGTATATATATAAATAAATTAAAGCAACATGGTCCATATGTTTTGACCTGGTCTCTCCAAACGTGGTGCCCTGTCACCTCGCAGGACAAAGCGGTTCATGTCCTCTGAGCATTGGGATCCCAACCCCTTGCTCTTTCTGCCAGCCTGCGTGGCTGAAAGCGCCACTGGAGACTCACCACCAGGTTCGTCCTGACACTGGAGCAGAGTTTGGATGGAAACCAAAGAGTTCATTCCTACAATTTTCTGACTAAGCTTTGTGTAACAACGGGCCCTACTCCAACACTTGAAGCTTATTATGTGAAACCTTCCACACCTGGCCAATCTTTCTCGAGCCGGCTTTCAATGAGAACTCTGATGAAAACCAAAAGCTTCGGAAATATGCATCCTTGATGCGCCCCCGTCTCAGCTTCACCGCCTTGTGATGCCCTTTATTTCTTTGATTGCCTCTTAGGCCAGGAACCTTTTGAGATGCATTCGGCTGCCAATGCCCTGGACAAATTGTCCTATGGCATTTTTGATGACCCGTTCGTTGATGTAAGCTGGCCCATGGCTCAGTATATGCCTCCAACGACCTCCTAGCCTCATAACTTCGCCTGTTGTCTTTCCCAAGGGCGCTGCCCGCTCGTGGTCCCGCAGTCGGACTGGGGGTCAATGCCCCGCACCATGTGCAGGGCAGAGATTTGGAAGCTGTCCCAAGCTCAGAACCACTGGAGACAGGAGAGCACTGAATCGCAAGTCTTGGCGCTGTTTGTGGTGTCTGGATGTGTGCAGCCTCGCCCACCCTTGCCCCAGCCCAGGCTCCAAACCGCCTACGTTTGCTTGTTGATCGCCCAAACCGTGAGGAAATGGTCCGCTACCGTCGGGCAAGGGATTATCAGATTTTGCACCGCTCTGCTGCCAAGCTTTGGAGTCATGGGGTTGACATGAGCACTGCTCTCAAAATCATCCGAGAAGCAGTGGCCGAGTCGGGGGTTTAACCTGTAGGGGAGCGCAGAGTACAAGCAGCTGCCAGCGCAAGTTGGTTTGTGAACAACAGTTTCGGCTAATTCCAAGAGTGGTCTCTTCCAACTTCCAACATCCTTTTTTTGTGAATCAGCTTGTGCAAGCTACATCCGCCCAATGTGCCAAGCCTACGCTTTGTGAAGGGCTGGGCAATTAGTGCCCGCTGTTTGTGAACGCTGATCTCGGCACAAAATCGACAGCTGTATGGACTCGGTGGTTTGTGCTTAGCCGGGATCCAACTCGGCACAACCTGCCTGGTCTTCTCCCAGATCCTTATGTTAGTGAATGTTGGATTGGTAATTTTATTGGGTGGAGGCTCAGAGGTATTGTGTTTGTGCTTAGCGGGGACTCCACTCGGCACAACTTCGGTGTTTGGTTTGACCGAGTTGTTTGTGATTTTTTCTTGCATCTCAAAAGCTTTTGTCTAGGGCATGGTCACCTCAGGAACAGACCCTGATACGGAAGGTTTTGTGAAGAATCCGATCTCTGCTCGTCACAAAATGGCAGTTGGGGAATGGAGCTCGTCACAAAACGGCTGTTGGGAAATGGAGCTCGTCACAAAACGTCAGTTGGTAAACTTATTTCAAAACAAGACGGCCGTTGGGAATTGGATCTCGTAGCAGACCCGAAGTCACCAAATCTGAGAAATGGAGGGCACTGAACGCAACCATCCCCATCTGGCACCCAGTCCGGGGTGCCAGATCCCCGGTTGAGAAACGTCACCAAACCTGTTTAACAAAGTTTTTTTTTCGCGTCCGTGATCGTCCGTGCCATGTAAAGGTTCACTCCTTTCGTGTTCGGCTTGAAAGAAACCACCATGAGGGCCAGAACCCCTTCAACTCGATCACGAGCCCTCCACTGCTCCGACAGTCACTCCTGCCAGGCGACTCGAGATGCCTCCAAAGAAGCGGACCAGTGGCAGTGGTGGAGGGGCGGGAGGGGCCAAGAAGGCCAAGAAGGGCGGAGACTTACCATCGATTGCCCCTGATGCCCTGAAGCTCCCCCATATGCACCTCTTCGATGCGTGGTTGAACCTTTGATGAACTTTAGGAAACTAATGAAACATAATGAAACCGTGAAAACAATTCTTGAAGAACTCAGCCATATCCGTGTCTATAAGATTCTATATATATATATATACTTTCAGGACCGAGAACGTCGGGAAGCAGAGCCTTTGCCTTGATCAGTTCCTGGAATCGAAACTTAGCGACGAGGCCAGGAAAAATGAGTGGAATCTTGAAGAACATGTTGCTTCAATCTCATCGAATCTCATCGTTTGTTGTTTCAGGGTCATGCAGTGGAGTTCTACAAGTGGCTGGACGACTCATTTCCAGCAGACCCTTCTTTGTGCACAACCCAGATGGCAGCGTGATAAAACTCTTGGAAACATGTCCACCCATTGCTGATCCTTTTTGCAGGGTTCTGATGAATGGTTGGGTTTGCTAGGAGCTACATGAGCATTGGTGATGTGGGCAAAACCGGCGGTCAGTTCATCCGACCATTCCACCTTCCGCATCGGCAAGACTATGGACTCCGGGGGACGTCAGATCATGTGTTTTGGATTGATCCGAAAAGAACGCCTATACCATATCATTGGAAAACAATTTGCATGTTCAGTCTTGGTCCCGTTGCTTGAGCTAACAATCGGTCTTAGGACCTGCAAAAGACTCTCACCCAACTTATCCTGCTCAACGGCTTTGCAACCAGCGCTGACGTGCCTGGCGGTGAACGGCTGTGCTGCACTCACCTGGATCGGAGTTGGCTGAAAAGCCCTCCACGTTGTTTGCGGGTGGATTCCGACCTAGGGATGGACCCTAAAACCCTGCCACCCGAACAGCTCTTCATGGTCAAGGGCTGGACTCGTTCAGTATGTGCACTCACGGTGCTATACGCTGCGTGGGTGGATAATGACATCTTCGAGGCCGGGGGATAGTTTGGCAACCCACCTTAAACACTGCACTGAATCGAGGGGGGTTCCCAAGTGGATGTTTTCTCTCACAGGCTTTGCCAATTGAGACAAAGAAGCAACCCGGCTGCACCAACTCACCAACACAAACAAATCAGAACATACAAAACGGTTGCCCATCTCTTGACCATCCATATCACACCTAGCCTGAGTCCTAGTTTCAGGTCCTTTGCGACCATCCATGTCACGGTGGTTGATGCAGACTCCAGCAAAGTGGTGGATACGAATCGAGGCATTTTTGGGGGGGCGTTGTTTTGGCATTCACGTGGCAGATTTCAGTACCACCACAAATTGGATGCATCCCCTTTCCAGGCGTAACTTTGAGCGCCTCGATCCGAAGACGGCCAAACGCCTTCACGTTGCTATACCAACTGGAATTCCTTTGCCGCACGGGCATGAGCCGTGAGCTCTCCATTGCCTCGCTACAGGCTAGGCTTTATCCAGGTTTTGTCGTGAGGTTTTTCGATGTTTGTTAAGATCTTTCAAGATTTTCAAGGATTTTGAAGGGTTTCATTTAGCCTTGTAACTTTGGGGACAGGGCCTGGGTCCATGTTGAGGCCTATGACAGCGTGGCACAGTTCGCCGCTGCGTACCAACTTGGCGCTGCTGAAAGTGGAGCAGCAGTCAACCTCTTGCGCAACATCGCCCCTTCTGTGAAGAATGCGCTGACAGAGCTTGTGGCGCGCTTTACAATGCCAAAATTCCTGACTCATGAACCGCTTGCCAGTGGGTGGTTCAACAACGACTACTGCTCGGGTACTGGAACACTTCAATCTTGGAGCAAGGCCCTTACCAATACTGAAGAATTGGCCAAGCTGCTGGTGAGCCGAATGGAGAAAGACTATGTTGCATTGGCTATCAAAATGAGGAAACCTTGGGGGAAAGAAGTTGAGCCTTGGAAATGATTTGGTATAAAATTTACCGCGATGCTTTCCCAGCAGTCGCAAACACCGCCCACCACATCAGCTCAAACTTGGTTGAGCCTCCGTGCAAGGAGAACCTCCAGCGGGTGTGTGGCGGGTTCCTGGCAGCCGTGGAACGGTACAAAGAGATTGTCCCCAAGCACTTCCTGGATGCCACCCTGCCTGAGATCGAGAAATCGTGCCTTAACACAATTATATAATTGCAAGACATTCTAACCAGCTGTCAAGGGGTCAGAAGACGACATCCTAGTTCTTTTTAGATGGCTGTTTGCACCCAAACGCAAACAACTTTTAGATCAGTTGTAATTGACAGCTCTGCTGTCATCATTTCAGGTTCATGCACCGGCATGCTGACGCAGACATCAACAACCTCCTCAGCAACAGCGTCCCACCCATGGATGTTTCGAAGATATCTATCTTCCAGCAACATCTCAGCAAGTACAACAGTGAGGTGCGCCGCAAAGAATTTGGGAGTGTTCTGTTGTTTAGGCGTCCAAATCTGCGGTGTGAGTATGTTGGTGCATGTGTCCTTTTTACTTCAAGATGCCCTTCACACAACAGTGTTTGTTATCCCGACGCTCAACATGATCCAGGTCGACAGTGCCACCACCAAGAGACATGCAGAGCTACTTGCTATCAAATAATATCAAATAATACAAGCACATATGAAAACACATGCCAAACCTTCAGCGAGGGAGCCCCCCAGCCCAGAGCCGGCCTCAGGCTGCAGCAACAGCTTTTGCAAGCTACCTGGGCTCAAACTGAGCTCAACTTCGATGCTGATTTGCTAAAGATGAATGCATGGGCCCGGAAGTACGACATTTTCAGTCAACAACAGGCTCATGAAAAAAACGTTCAAGTTGGAAGAGTACTGTCTTCACATCTGTCCATGGCCAGCATGAATTCAGGCCATGATGGACTTCAAGTATCTCAGCGACCGGTGTGCCAAAGGTACAGAGCGTGTGAATGCGTTCCTCAATGACAAACATAGGCTCCATTCCTTTGACAACCTTGTCATGGGACACGCCGCTATCGTGGAAATGCAAGCTGCGATGAACAACCAGGGGTTGCTCGGTTGTGTGTGCGTTCGATTGTTTTCTGTAGTTCAACATGAGTGACTAGTGTGAGCCAAGGCTCACAGTTCTGGTGTTCGACGCTACGTTGTGGCCATCCCGCGCCTTTGTTGTCCATAATTCTGAGAACCAACAGCCCACAAGGCCACCGACAGTTCACATTTTTCATTGAGGTGCACTGGCACTGGACGAGGCAGTGCAGGTGTGCCAGACAGTATCGTCCGGAAACCCGCGCACTCTCTGCTTCTTTCTTCTTCCACAGTGGCACAGCAGCACTGGCAAGTGCACAGTGCTCAAAAACCGGAGATTGGTTGAAGATCAGGTGCATGCGTTTCTCGGATGCAAGTGTTTTTCAATGCTTTTCAATTTCTTAGCCAAGAACATCGGTTCCTGTGTCCCACTTGTTGCTTACGCTGTTAACCTTGAACGCTCTAAGATGTATGGAAACCTATGAGATCGCGCTGAACTTCGCTGATTCTGCACACGGCGGAGATCGGCGCAAACTCAGCCAACAGTGCACCTTACCCCAAATTTGTAATGTCACATGTTATTTCGTGATTATGCGCAAGAAAGATGTTTGAATCCACGCAGTATATGTTCAGCGCCTTTGTTCTATTGCCCAACCTAGGGTGACTAGTTTTGAACCCATTCAGTTTATGTTCAAACAGGTGTGGCTGCGGTTGTCAGTGGCGGCTCTGGCTCATCGGCGTCTGCGTGGGTCAAGAGCCACGCGTTGATGGGATCCATAGCAGGTATCGAGCGCAGCAGAGTGAACGAACTGGTCAACCCTGACCCAGATAAGCCGCTAGCACCACACTTCAGGGCACCTTGAAAACACATGCGGCAAGCTTTCACCTTTCCAGCTATTTCCCACACAAAACGTACGGTGCATTCTTCATTGTTCACCATGCAACTCTGCTGGCCAAGCAAGGTGCAGCAGAGAGGAGTGGCAGCCACCAAATCAATAATCACCCAGCTCTTGGAGGGCATGACTTCTGGTGAGACTACCCAACTCCTTGTGGTGGATCTTTTGCCATCAAGGATATGTTTTTGTATTCTGCTTGACCGTATCATACAATATGATGTTATTTGTTGGTTTTGCACTTGCAATGTCTGTGGGGGGTTGTTGAGAATTCATTATGTTATAATATGTTATAATATTGGATATTCGCTGAACATCACATTCTGAAAGTCCAATTCTGTTCCCTGACCCTGAGATTTGCTGAATGGTCTGCCGCTTGCTGGGAGTTCCAGAAGGAAGCCCTCTTGGGCTCGGGCGATGGTCTTGATGTTCGCTTCCTGGCTGTCTATGACAAAGACAATGCGCACATTCTGGCAACCTGGCGTGAATGCATGGTCGGCCGGGTAATGTCTCAATGGTGGGACCAATGCGCTGATGCAGGACCCAAGGCCAGGGAAACCACACGGTTTCAGGAGGAACCTCCATCCCTGGAAATCCTTAGCATTGGTTCTGATTCATCTTGCGTGGTGAGTCTTGGAACAATTCGATAACCCTTTTTCTTTGGGGTGGTTGTGGAAGAAGGTACAAAATATATATTTCCACAGCCTGTTCAAAGTAACTCAGGATTCCAGACCTCGTCAAAGACAAGTTCAAGAACTCCCATTCTGACCTGCTGAAGAAAATGGATGACCGCTTGGAGGAGGAGACACTGGTGATCAAGGCCTTGAAGGGATTTGGCCAGTCCAGCACAACCTCCTCTAACAATGAGGGGCCCCGCACTTCGGCTTCCCCTGAGTGGCATGGTGAGCAACCTTGGAACCACCGGAAAAGGATGCCCCACACTTGCATTTCTCTTGCTGACTTCGAGAGTAGCAATTCGTGGCTGGGCCAAGAATCAACCAAATGTTCCACCAAATTTGAAGCCATCATTTGTGTGGTTTTGTTCTTAAGGTTTTGCCAAACCTTTGCCAAACCTTTAGGGTGTGTGTTTGCGTGTGTGTGTGTGCTCCAAACATGTCCCAGGGTGGACGCAGCTGCAAATGTGGCGCGGGAACCTTCGATCCAAGTGTGTCTCACTACGCTGGGAAACCTCTGGCTGATCAACAAGACCGCCAGCTCTGTCAATCTTGGCAGTGGGGAACTCTTCGGGTTCAATGTTGGCAGCTATGTTGAAATCCCCTCAGGCATGATGTTCGCAAACTGTTGAAATTGTTGAAGGGGCATCAATCACCGGAGAACTACCTTCATAAGTCCTGAGTTAGCTTTTAGTGCGTCCCTTTCATCCATCCGAACCCTGATCGCCCGACCCTGCAGCTACAGCAGCCACTGCAGCCGATACCTTGCCGTGGTGCGTGAATGATGACAAGACCCTGGTGTGCTTGGTCAAGACTGAGGGTGGGAGCACAACTAAGACAATCTCTTCAATTGCGGAGATCATGTGCTCCATCACAAGAGAGCGTGGCATTACAGAAGTGCGGCTAGTGGACCATGACATGTCTCCACTGATGAAGGCCAGGTCTTCCAAAAAATGGTTGTTACTTTCCTTTCCAGTTCACAACGTGTTCAACAAAGTGTTGGAGCTTGAGCACCCAAAAGCATTGAAGGTTTTGCCAGATGGCCAGCAGCGTGCTTTGCATTACCGCTTCAAGATCGCTGCCAAAGACAAGCTGAACTCGTACAAGCCAAAAGAGTTGGAGGGGAGCGTTGACAAGAGCAATCTTCGCGCAGCTCAGCTTGGAGCCGTTTTCCACAACAAGTACAATCAGATCCCAACGTGCGACTGGTGCAACATTGTTTGGGAGGCAGGGTAGTAATCTGTCAATGATCTTGCAATGTGTGTTCTTCGCTGAACAGTGTTCAAGGGCCACCGCCACCAGCATGAAGGATCCCTATTGCTCAACAAAGAACTACCTGGAAAATTTTCATAATTTTCCCACCTCTCTTTGGGCACCGTGCCCCGCTGCACAGGTCTCCGTCGGTGAACAGGTCCCAGCCTTGGCGACCCCGCTCAAGCCCAAGTTCTTCCTACTTGGCACTGTGACCATAGGAGCTGGTCAGGCTGTGAAACTAAAGTAGTTTTTTTTGGGCGGCCATTGAGAATCAATGGCTTTTGTGTGAGAACAAGGCTTGGCTTAGAGGGCTACCTTTTGCACCCCAGTACATTCGCCACCATACAATAGGTTTGGTATGGTTTGGTGATTGCCATATTGCCCTAAAAGACCCTGGGAAGCCCAATGCCTGCGCCTTGTGGGTGCCATGCGTAGTTTTGGCCTTTGACCGTTTGACAAACTCAGCGAACCCAAGAAAACGCTTCTTTGCAAACCGTGCATCATGGACTTTGTCAGAGCATTCTTCCGCTTGTGAATGCAGTATTCATGGTTGATGTAACACTTAGAGCACGTGTGATCAAGATTGTGCGGAATGCATGGGTTTCTCAACATCGTTGGCGCCATGGTGTTGCAATCGGTAGATGAGTTGTCTGATGAGGGTGGCAGGCCCCCTGCACCTGCCCCTGGGATTGTACCCACGTCTGGTCCAACGCCCAAATCGAAACCCAAAGCGAAACCAAAGGCGAAAGAACCAAAGGTCTTGAAACGACCTGCCGCTTCTCCCCTGTCCGAGCCAGCTCTCCCTCTTGAGCCAGCCGGGCCACTAGCGAAGAAGCCAGCGGTCCAGAAGAAGCCGGCCTCAAAGACCGATGGCGACGCTTCAAAACCTACACGTATTAGGAAGAACTTCTACAAGGAGTCGAAGCGCTATGGATTTGTGGTTGGAGATAGCGAGGTGATGTACGTAGCTAGCTTGCACCTATTTGACCGGGACACAACTCCACACTTCTTTCAAAGAAACCTATTCATGCGTTCTTTCAACTTTCACCTGCGCCATTGCTGGCTGAGTTCCGAGCAAATGAAAGCGAGGGCCTTTCCGACGAGACCCGTGAAGAGATTGCAGCCACTGGGACAAAACTACTGGCTGAGAGGAGATTGAAGGGATTTCTGATGATTTCTGCACTATCCTGCGTTTATATGCGGGACTGGACCCCTAACTGAAATCCTGAGAACTGTGGTAACCACTCATACATCTTCATATGTTTTAACTTTTCTTTAGGGTTCTCACATGTTCTCACCTCTTCTTGGCTCAGGTGGCCATCCGCGATGAGCTGAGAAGAACCACGGGCGATGTGGCCGCAGCTGAAAGTTTGAAGGCCCATGTACCACGTTGAGTTCCCCGTGAAGATAATGGCATTTCATATCCACATGGTCATCCTGATTGATGAACGTCTCTAGAACCTAGAGGTGGCAACTGTATGAGGCCTAGTTTTTTTGTAGCTAGACTGACCACTTCTGACCTCTGCGTCTGATTGGCAGGAAAACATGATCAAGGCTGCGCTTGAGAAGCTGAAACCTGCTGGTGCCGCTGAGGCAGCGGAGTGTGAGGATGACGGCCAGCTAGAGCAGCTGGAAGACGCCGAGGAGGAAATCCCACTTGAGGATGACGAAGTTGATGGTTGAGGTCAAAAGTTGATTGGCATACTGCAGGGAAAAATTTCTCAAGGTTTTGTTTGACATAATGCTAACTGGTCAAAATGACAGACACATTTTGACCTCAACTTCAACCAGCTAGACTTGTGCTGTGGCTCTTGTGCGGGTAAACACTGCTAGTTCGATTGCTCGTTACACCGTCCTGCAGGTTAGTGCCCCTAAAATATATATGTATAATCCTTTGTGTTCATGGGTTGGCCCCCCATGGATTGGAAACACACAGGTCAAACCATGTTGCCGAGTTTGAGTACACACCCCTTCGATTTGTGTTGCGTGTTTTACTCTCAGATTTTGGTGTCAAACTTCCGAGCGATCGCTTCAATGGATCAGCGCCAACAGGAGTATGTGGGTGCCCTGAAAGCATTTTGTTTGAGAGGACAACATATATACAGTTGTTTAGTAGTTGTACCCACCAAAACTATTGGAGAGGTGTGCGTTGTTGACCCAAGGAATCCAGTGGAAGGATGGTATTTTGCCAGAACGTCTCTACATGTTCGCTGCTATTCCTTGGAAGAAAGCTGCGCAGCTAACTGTTGATGATTATCCCTCTATTGAGTGGTCACCGTTGGAGGATGCTGATGAAGGCATCAAATCTTTGATGCGTTGGATCCATGATGCTTACGTGTTGCACTTTGCAGACAATACCGTCTGCTGCTATGAGCAGGTAGTTTTTTTCGTCTCGGATGCAAAATTTGAAGGAATCCCCGGGTACAAATGGTGTGCCCAAGTTGATGTGTTCGACGTTTTAGAACAGCATGAAGCTGTTTTCCTTTTTCGTTTGGCGGCCTAGCAACCTACTCAGCCTGGCTTTCAGTGGAAAAAAGCTGAGAACGTGAGATTGACATCTTTTTTGAGCTTGTGACACAGACCGGTGTGAACGACCGAAGCCAAATACCTGGTGCTGTAAAGCTGTTTGTGCACACTGTGGATATACACACTCACTTATCATTGCCATGGCCAGTCGTGAAATGTGAACAAAGTTATGCAAAAAATGCTGAAGCTGCATCATTCGCAACATGACCTCAAACCGGCTTTAGCAATTTTCAATGCAGGTTTTGGCTATATTCACAGCCACCACCACCACCACGTGGGCAATGTATTGTCATGTATTGTCTATCAACTCTGTCTCTATCAGCCTATCAGCCTGTCAAAGGCAAGCCATGTCAAAACCCTAGATGCAAAACAAAGCCCCCAACCAGAGGAACAGAAAATCAATCAGTGCCTGTAGTGAAATGTCATTTGTTCCTGCTGGAGCGCTCAGGGTGGGCGGATTGAACGTTGCCCCATGATCCACAGTGCGGATCTGCTCCCCCTCCTGTACACGCCGCTGCCATGAGTTGTCCATGCAGGTGGGACCAAGCCAACTCAGGAACTGAATCAAAAATTCATGAATGTCCTGTTGGCCCGGGCAAATCATGAAACGAGGGCAGATCACGAAGATTGATCCACAAGCTTTCCTGTCCAAGCAGGTTGGCCATGATCTCAGCTCCAGGACCCAAGTCTCCCCACATTGGCTCCCTGAGTTGACATAGCGTCCACATCAAAGCCACTGTTGCTGCGTTCTGGTAGCAGAAATTGGAGGCATTGCTCAATCTGACCGCCACCAACCAGCCCGCTATTTCTTCTTTCACCAAAGGCCAGTGGATGCCCGGGCCAAATTGGAGGCCAAAGGGTTCTCTCGCACTGCATGCGGGCGGAGCCTGCCCAGGATCAGACTCCAGACTGAGGAGGCCACCAGCTGGTGGAGCAAGGAGTAGAGACGCTGATGTCTCATGCCAATCTGGAGCATCCAAGGAAGTACCTTCACCTGAGAATTCTCGAGGTCCGATGTCTTGAGACACTTGAACCGTACCACTGCCGTCGGGTCGGCGAAGAGTTCGACCAGCTCCTCCAGCAGCCTCTGAACACATGTCATTGAGAGCGGGGCTTTGTCCATCACACAAATCTTTCGATCTTTGGGATTCCAAGCCAGCAACGGCCACGAGCCCTGGTCCGTTATCACGGACGTC